TGGATTTTTGTGGTTGATGGCAAGCTGACATTGACGTCCCGTTCAGTCCCGCTGGGTTCTTCCAGTGTTTGTGTTGCAGGAGGCTAGCTGAAGTGTTCAGCTTATCGCTGAAGACTACGAGTAAGGAAGTGCAATGTCGTTTCGTCTTTTTTGCATATTTTTTTTCACTGGAATCTGCCTTCTTGTGATCTGTTGATCGAATCACCTCAAATAGGACGCGGTTGTTGCTTATAGCGGAAGCCTTTTCCATCTCCTGAGCCTTCAAAATCCATCACCGTTCTGTCATCATTCAGACCCTATCCGGTGTTTGTGCGGTCTACGTGCGCCACCATAGTATCTAGTTGCTGGTATGGCCTTTCTGGCAGCAATAAGACCTACTGATTTAGTGTTCATTTAGTTGAGTCGGGTGGCTTGGACAAGCAGTCCTGGAAGCTGATAGGGTAGCTTCTTTAACCTGCTTCCATGTAACCTCCAACCAATCTCCATCGTCCGCGTGACCTTCCGTTCCCAGTAGCTTTCTAGCCAGGCCCACTCGATACTTGTAGTGGGAGTCGATGACTTAGTTAATCGATTATTGATCCGTTGAGTAGAATGAGAAGACTTCGCCTAAGGATAGGCTTTATTCAACATGTAAGCACAGTATAGGCTGAAATGACAAGTGAAAGTGAATTAATGGAAATAGCAGTAAAGCGTAACTTTCACTACATTCACTCCGGCAGGCAAAATGTCAGTTGAACCTAACAGAAATGTGTTGTTGGTAACAGAAAATGAACGTAGTGCGGATGAACAATTGAAAATGGTTAAAGTAATTTTTAGTATTTTGAGGGTCTGAATGGAACACTGAAATAACGTTTCGTCGTGGACGCAAGAAAGTTTGTAACACCTGATCTAGACTTCGCGGCTACGTAAATTGTAGGGACGAGTGCGTTGCTGTTGCATCAGAAGGTTCTGAGCATTTTCTGATATGCTCGTTTTCGGTCTGTTTCGAATCTCTGGTAATATTCCAGCATTTCCTTCACTGTTCTTATCATCCGATAACATTTGAGACTCGAGCTGAACATTTTCTGATCCCCTATCGCCACATGCGGGTGCGAGTTGACGGATGGAAACTGTTTGGTCTCTACCGTCTTTGAGCCGAATATGGGCATACTCAGGATTGCATTCTAGTAACGTCGCTTCTTCCACAATTGGGTCATATTTTGATGTGCGGTCAAACGACTTCACAAGGACAGGACCTGGTGATGTTAGCCAGCTAGGCAGAGATGGTCCGTACGATGATCGACGCTCGTGAACAAACATTCTCTCATGTGGCGTTGAATTAGTAGCCGTACAGAGTAACGACCGAATGGCATGCAGAGCATCGATGAGCATATGTTCCCAATGTCCAACGTCGAGATTACGAGATGTTAGACCGAGTGTGATAGCTTTCCAAAGCGTTCCGTTTAGCCGTTCCACTTGTCCGTTGCCCTGGGGGTTATAGGGAGTGGTTCTGCTGGTAGCTATATGCCTGCTATGCAGAAATTCTTTGAGTTCGACGGACATGAATGAAGGGCCTCGGTCCGAGTGAATATAGGCTGGCATACCGAATATTGAAAACAGTTGACATAAACAACTGATGAGTGCCGATGCTTTCATATCCGGACAAGCGAAAGCAAATGGGGATCGCGAATACTCATCTATGATCGTTAGCAGATATTTGTTACGAGTAACCGAAGGTAAAGGTCGTTTAAAGTCGATGTTCAGGCGTTCAAACGGCCGGGTAGCCTTTATTAGTTTTCCCTGTATATGACGATGAAACCGAGGTTTTATTTGCGCACATACCCTGCACTGTGCGCCAACGGCCCTAACTTCGTTCAACGAATATGGGAGATTTTTCGATCTGACAAAGTGAAACATTCTTCGGACTCCGGGGTGGCATAACGAGGTGTGTATGGTCAGCAGTTCGGAAGAATTAGACACGGAGCTACAAAACTGGCGGGATAGTGCGTCGGCAGCTTGATTCTCTTTGCCCGGACGATAAACGACATCATAACTGAAGGGAGAAAGTTCGATGCGCCACCGTAGTACCTTATCATTTTTAACTTTACCTTTATGGTTAGTATCATACATAAAGGCAACAGATCGTTGATCCGTTATCAACTTGAAGTGATTACCAATGAGGTAATGTCGCCATTTTCGTATAGATTCGACTACTACATACGCCTCCTTTTCAACAGCGGAATGGCGTTGCTCAGATGGAGACAGTGTTCTGGAGAAAAAGGCCACTGGTCTTCCGTTTTGATTTAGGGTGGCTGTGATTGCCACATCAGACGCATCTGTCTCGACTACCAACTGTTGTGTTTAGTCGATAGAAATAACCAGGGCGTTAGCCAGTTCCGATATCAGTACGTGAAACGCCGTTTTCACCGATTCAGGTAGAGGAAATATTTGGTTGTGCACAAGTGGATAAATTTTATCATATGTTGAATAAATTGTGGTGGGAGTCGATGACTTAGTTAATCAATTATTGATCCGTTGAGTAGAATGAGAAAACTTCGCCTAAGGATAGGCTTTATTCAACATATAAGCACAGTATAGGCTGAAATGACAAGTGAAAGTGAATTAATGGAAATAGCAGTAAAGCGTAACTTTCACTACAATACTCTTGAGCTACTGAGACTTTTCGATGTTGTTGGGTGGTGTTGCCACGCATTCGCATGCGTTGTGCTGACGAAAAGCAAAGCAATACCCGGGCCTGGACAATTGCATGATCGGTGTCAATTTATCTATCCCATAAGGAACGACAATCATTTTTTGAGACTCCATCGTTAGCTGATAGCCACATGGTCCAATTGAATCCATGGCTGTCTTACGGTTGACGGCTTCCAAGTATCTCAATGTGAGCCTTTGTGTTGGAAGTCCATACTGGCCAGGAACAGACGGAAGCAGCCGCTCCCCAATATTCGTACGCTGAGCGTCGACTCCAAATTTTCTACCTAATTTTGCTTGCTCCTGACTTAGTCGTCCAAATCGGGTACTCAGGTCACGCACCAGGATTACTATATCCGTCCTTGCCGATCGATGCAGGCGTGACAGATTGTGATATAACCCGTCATCAGTCTCAGAACAGAAGTCTGTCGATATTATATGGCTGAGTGGTTAGAGCGCGAATTTACTGGTCCGTCGTCCGATCCTGATCTATGCACCTCGATTTTCCCTGTTTAAGTTTGGGCAACCTGGCAATATCTCGGCTCTCGTGCTTCCTCCTGGTGGCATGGCAGCTAGGCACCGAAAGGGTGCTACAGCTGAAGGAAGAGAGAAGATTCTGTCGGGCGTATGCTGATACGACAAATAAACACTGTTTGGCGTATCGACCCGGATTAGTGGTGATTGAGCCAGACAACCCCACAGCGCAAAGACTTTTTACTGGGATCCGATCCAGGAAGGCGCTTTTAACTCTAGGTTCGACTCCAACTCCCACACCGTAGCTACTATCAGCCATGCTTTTACGACCGAAGTGAGGTCTTGTATGTGTGTTTCGGAGGTGCAGCATGTATCGACGTAGGGGAAATAAGGTTTCAACCTGTTGGCCAGTTTGATATAAAGTACGGACATTGAAGACCGCGACGTGGATCAAATCTCTTCAGCTTAGTAAGTGATTATTCTGGTTCATTTTTCTGGGTGACGGTTTTAAACACAACCGGCAGATGGGGGAAGACCAGTAAGCGAAGAGCTGCAAGGGCGAATCGTACTTCCTGGTTGCTCAAGCCGAAAAAGGGGGTTCTGTTGATTTATCCCACCTTGAGTTCTTGAATCAAAAGTTTGATCCACTAGACAGTGGGAAGATATAGTATTGTTCGGTGATCCGCTCTCAGCCTCCAACTCAAACGTCTAAGCCGCGGGTTAGTGGTTGTTATGGTTTTCTTGGAGGGGGGGCGGCTTGATCTGAGAACTCAGTGGATAAGGTAGTACTGTCTTACTCCTAATGCAGTTGCGTACAGCAAGCGCCTTTTTAGCGGCACCGGATGGTGATACATATTCATGAAGTTTGCATGGTGGCTTACCAAGTTTATTTTCATGGGTAGTAAGTGAACCACGACCTATCTGTCTCATATTTTAGTTTATTTACTTAGAATTTCCATCCGTCGTTCAGTTTGCTGGGGTACGTTGCCATTGAATGCTCCCGCAGTGAAGGGTTTTCATATTATCGTATCATAGTGGTCCGCTGCTCTCTTCGTCTCCCAACTTTTGTTTTTGAAAGGATGATGCATTTCTTGGTATCATCACAGTCGGCCGACACGAAAAAGAAATTGTTCGGCTATGGCACCGTTTTGGTACCTAACGGTCATACCGCCCGAAGGAATCCGACACGGAAGCGTAGCAGTTTCAGATCGGGACATGTTCGTTGGTATCCGTTTCCGGATTAACTTGTCACGTTTTTCAAAGCCAATAGGCCGTCCCCGGCGTGAGGTAGGGACGCATATGGTTTGCACCAAACAACGTATGCAGCCAACCGAACGCCTTGTATTCGAAGGAATAAGACCTGAGGTGGACATGACAGAGACAGCATGCTCAACTTGTGGCCCATTAATGTCAATTCGACTGAGTAGGACCAAACGATTGGGCCCCAAAGTGCATGCAAAAGTAATTATTAGACGCATCCTAGGTGTAGCCATCTTTTGGGTATGTCCGCTAGCACCGTCGTTGGCTTACCACAATGGAACCTACGGCGGCGAGATGGTTCAGTGGTTAGAGCGCGAGTTTACGGACCGGAGAGTCCATGGTTCGCACCCGACCTCCGCATCTCGATTTCCCCCGTCTAGACTTGGGAAACCTGGCAGTATCCCAGCCCTCAGGCTCCCTTCGGGTGGCATGTCAACTAGGCACCGAAAGGGTGTTACAGCTGAAAGAAAATATACAATGGAACATCCAGTGTTACTCCGTCATTCATAAAACAGAATGAACAATAAAACTGAACAAAATACAAAAAACACGGCCAAACGCAATGCACACAACACAGTATGAGGTACAAATGGATACGCAAAGATAACCCGACAGTCAAAACCAAGAGCTTTCAGTGGAGAAGCACCGAGGGCTCCTACCGGCGCGGACAATGGCCAGGACCGTCTGCGATCATAATTTGCTTATAGTTCCTATCAATCCCCTTCGGATGAAGACAACATCGTAATGCACGTGTTCTCGTCTAATTTGCTTTGTGTTTCAGCTCCCTCACCATCTCTTCAATGGGTCGGTTGCCCGTTTATCTATTTAGATGCGCCCTTGCCTTGCAGACATTCGTCATAGTCTTGCTTGTACGCAGGCTCTTTTTTGGACAAGTGGGGAACAACCTAGACGATTGGGTTCCAGTATCGCTTTCAACGTTTTCCACGCGTCCTGATACTGCATTTCTTTGTATCAACAAAAGCCGCTATGCTTTGAGTGCTTTCAACAGGTCGAACTCCACTCACTGCAGAGATTATTTTATCAATGTGATGTGTAACGGAGCTGCCATGAAACCTCTGGACACACGCACTGAATGTCCTCACAGAAGTAATTTTGCTTTACATTTGTTAACGTTTCGAATGCACACGAGTCGCAGTCTCGATAGCAGGGGCCGATATGATCTGAACAAAAGTACTTAAATGAAGGAACCTACTCACAAAGTTGCTGAAAACTCTACGACAGCCCACGACCGGTTCTACCCTTATTGGGGCCTACATGATGAGCACATTCATAAACGATAAATTCAGTGCAGCCTGCCGTGAAAACCAAATTAATTTGCAAATAAGTGTACTTGTTGAAAAGTACCTGAGATTTCTGATAGAGTTACTCTGCCACGTGTTTACTTAGCTGACCTAACCCACTCCCTTCGGATGCATTAGTGTCTGAGTGATTTTCACTCCTTTTTACCCCGTTTACATTTTCCATTGATTATTTGAGGACCAGCATAAAAGGTTGGGATTCTCCCACGTTTAAAATACACTCAGGCAGTGTCAACTGGGAGAGTGGTTCTTTCTGAAGGAAGGGGATTCACTTGAACCGTCGATTGAGCGGATAGTTACACGTAACGTACGGCGGCTGTTGAACAAGCCCGAACAGGCTTTTGCTGAAACTTCATTAAATTATTGATAAGGGAGAAGGCGATCAAGACAATTCTTCGAGCTGTTTGCACAGTCACATAGACGCCATTGAAAGTGGTATTGTCAAGTTCCAGTATTTGATGTCCCATCTACGTTGAATTTCAGTGGGCTTTTTCAGTGGCAGAGGATCAGGGTGCTTTAACATGCTGCGAATCATATCAGCCATGATGTATCTTCATTGATGAATGATGAATGAACCCGATGAATGTTATTTGCGCTACCTCACACTCATTTGGTGGAATTAAAAATTAGATTTCGTCGTTATGTTGTGAACTAAGGAAGGCCGTTCTACACTGTTGTCCTCCGTGGCAACATCAGCATCTCGTCTGCTTCTATCTAGACTTAGGTAACCTGGCAGTATCTCAGCCCTAGGGTCTCCTTCCGTTGGTATACTACCTAGGTGCCGAAAGGGCGCCGATTTGGTTTGATTTTTTGCCCTCTAGTTCCTGTCAATAAGAGACTATGTTTAGGCTACATCCAAGTTCACTTTTACCGTGAATCGGAGATGGCCTTTGACATAGTAGTTTCCAGAAAATCCTCATAGGAAAGAGTTTCAGCCGTTTGGTGCTCATTTTGTCTAACTGTCAAGTACTCTCCAACCTTCCTGAATAGATTGTCACATATGAGGGTAGTAAAGTGCTAATACGACATGCGTACGCGAGAACGCGTCTGCATAAACTGGCCTGTGTAGAGGGGTTGTGCTTCTAGTACTAGTTTATCCACCCTCGTTTCATTAAGCTTGAATAACCTGGAAAATGTTTGCTGAAATGCTTTTTTTAGGTTCACGTTCGTAGCTTTGTTAACTAATTAGCTTGCAATTCCTCAGTCAGCGCGCATTGCTTCCGGAGATATTAGTTTTGGTCGTTATGGTGGTTCGTGATTAGAAACAGACTATCTGGTTCAGTCATTTTGTCTTCAGTAGATGATGTGACTTCCGTCCTACCGTTCAGTACATTTTGAGAAGACATTCCTTTTTTAACAACATTCTATGAATTCATTCGAAATTGACGATTTTAACATATCGTAAAACTTGTCTTCATTCCTAGTTTATATTCATTTCTGATTGATTTTCACTGATCTTGACAGAACCTCCTGGTGACCAACCCGTAATAATCGGGTGTTACGCCATCAACACGGACCTTCTTAGTTCTTTCGTGTTAACCGAACCCCGGCTGGACACTGATTGCTTGCACCTTTGTCGACAGTCAGGAGTACGCTACGCATTTACCACAGCCAGCAGGATATGTGGATGCAGGCAGCAGCTACCTTCAACTGGGTCATGGCTTCCACCATCTGCCTGTTTCTCTCCTTGCTTGCTTCCCGCACATGCAAATATATCCATCCAGCGGCTACAACTTCCGTTGTGTGGCAGCCAGGTCGCTATCCAGGTAACTGATACGGCCTCCTTACCTCCGTTACATAATCAGCCAGGTATGAAATTTTTTGTACGTACTTATTTTTATGTCGATTTTCAATCCCCTACTCATTGCGTGATCGTTAATCTGTATTCAGAGATATCTGTTTTTCTGCATCATGACAGTTGCCAGGACTAGCCAAGAAATTGTGAGTTTCCGTGAATTCGAAAGATCGCGTCTTTTGAACAAGTGTTAAGGGATAAAATGGTTGTGCATCCCATGAGAATGCGTTGTTCAAAGCTCCTCTATCCCAGACGACAAACTGATGAAATTCGTCTCGCATCATTTATAGAGACTCACATTCGTTATTGATGGAAGTGGTTTTTGCCTTTTTATGTCACAGTTTGTTGCATGAGGTAAATGCGTCTGTGTTAGTAAAAGGGCTAAATTTTCTCGTTCTTGTGAGTCTATCAGCGAAGGCAGACATGCTAGAGCCTGTAGTGCGTTCCGTCAGCATTCGATCCTTTGGTTACTAGAACCGAAACTGTGAACTCATAAACATTTGCCGATGAAGACGAGGTAGGGGTTTCCGCCACATTAAGATTCGGATGCAGGTGGGCTGTGCTCAAGAAATGAAACAACAATTTTTTGGCTTTGCAGGCTCTTCTTGGACTCCCATGTTTTCATCATACTCGAGGGGAGAACGTAAGCTTCGGTCTACACATTTGGATAAGTTGGGCCGCTCTTCTGATGATTAAAATTTCGTGTGGTGGTCTCTGATTTTGGCCTAACGTTTAAGAGTTGGATGCCACAGTGTTGAAGGAGCTGGTCGCCGTGTTACGGTGATTGCGTGGTCTATAGCTTTCTGGTTGGAACAGTCACGTTAAGTGCCTTTTTCTAGGTAAAAATGCGATTATTAGCTGGCCCTCTTTCTCTGGAACACGTCCGTGTTCCTAAACGAGTTCAGCCAACTAATTCAAAGTAGACCACTAACATTTACGAGCGTCACTGCTCGAAATCCACAGGCAGTGTGCAACCGGTTTCGCCCACTTTGAGCATAATTCACATAAGCTAAGAAAATCAGTCCCCAACCTGAACAGCAATGTGGGCAACGTTCAATTTCGGGCTCATGTGTTTGATGAAATCGATGCCATCCTTCTTAGTCAATATGGGTTTCACTGGATCCTCAGTTCGAGCACTTTTGTCATGCATACGGGCTCACTGGCGGAAGTTCAGCAACCTGACAGTATCTCAAGACACATAAGCAATATATTCATAACATACGGGCGGATTCAACTTGAGCGGGCCAATTGAAATAGGTGTAAAAAGTCAGATAGCTGAATTAACCATCGTTGAAAATATCCTACCCAGATATCTAGACGTTGGTCTTTATCAGATACGAGGTATCTAATAGTCCCCAGTTATATCACCATACATAGTCTTCTGGGCTGTATTCTGCATGTTGGCTGAAACAGCTTTTGACGGCACTAACCTCTGCATTTTAAAACTTTCTGGTACCACCACGCCTAACTTTCCATGCGAATTTCTCGTTTGAGCCGACTTCAGACGGACCATGTAGATGAATCATGTTCTGCGTCCGATGGGGTGTAGCATCGAGGGGTGATGGTGACAGTTCTGTATGCGTCACTTGTAGATATGGTAATCTGATCCCACTCCCATTCACTCCCACTTTAATGACACTCCTCATAAATGCTTGAAAAGTAAGCTTCGGCACTTCTCTAGTCTGATTTACGATGCCCTTCTGCTGTTCAACTGAGGCCTGCTTCTTAGATGCACTGGGGAAATCAAACTAGACTCTACATCGCACGGGTGCACGGTCTGAGTCTCGTCAGTAGCGATTGATGGCAATTAGAGCCATGTTTTTCTCGTGGAGAGGCTCAGTTCCTGGACCGCAGATCATTCTGGGCTACACAAGTTGACGCAGATCATGTTTTCATGTGCTGTAGATGTTGGTCAAAACTCTCCGGCAAGTCCAAAAAACGAGTTCTCCACCTTACAATAGAAAAGACCGAAAGTCGGCTGGTTTTGAAACTGTTCTAATATGGAACTCAACTACAGCTTGAACAATACACTCTCACTTTGCCATTTTTCATTGCTGCCCAGATCCTTTGAGCCAGTCCACAATCACTGCACCCGACGTCGTACGGCCTGTTCGAATCGTCTACTTGTTGGTTTTACACGGGCGAAGCTGGTACCAAATCAAGCGGCTTTTTCGTCTGATTTTCTACACCCGTCATTACTACTACATTCATGTAGACGCGGTGGGTTTTCCCTGATGGAGTTTCACCCGGTTCTAGTTTGCATGCTGCGTTTGCAACCACCTTCCCCTCTAAAAAAACATTGTTTCACCTATGAAGAGTGCTGCTACCCTGTTCTCACGTAAAGACACTGCAGCTTTCCTTTTCGCATTTCCGGTTAAGGTTCTTTAAATGACCTGATAGAACTAATGGTGCCTCGATAGGCTGGACGACTATGTCCTGAGGAGCGCTGAACGCTTTGGATAATAATAATGATAATAATAATAATAGTGGTTCAGCTCTGACACCTTTTCGGTGCATAGCTGCCGTGCGACTGGATGGAGGTACGAAGGGTGAGATACTGCCAACTTTACCGATCCTAGACGGGAACAACCTAAAGACCACACCCCAACCGCTGAGCTACCTGTCAGATTGCACGCCAGCGCTCAAACATCCCTTGGGGCACTTTGACTTGACGTCAGGTCATCCCGTAGACTTCTACAGAAACATTAAGATTCCCGCCAGTTCATTCTAAGACTTTTATCGAGACAACATGTCTGTAACCCGAGTAAAAGTGTAAACGAGACTCACTCACAAGACATTCCTCCAAGAACAGAACCTCATGCCCCTACCGTTTTGGACGTCAGTGAGCAAGCATCAGACGAGGAATAATGTGGATTGTTTAGGTTTTTTATATATCTGTGGGTTTTGCCTACCGTATTAAGCTTGTTACAACTTCTCCCGACTGCTCGACGTTTTACATCCACCAGTCAACTTTCGCGCACCGTAGTTACGTGATCCCGCACTTACCTCGTTTTCTAGTTGCTCCCACTGTCTTGCCTAATGGTAAGTTGATTTTTAACGAACATCACTCATATGTTATACCTCTGTAACCTTATATGCGCATACAGTTCTGGATAGCAGTAGTTATTCAACCATAACATCCCTCCGGTTAATAGCTGCCGTAACATCCGAAAGAAGCATGAAGGCTGAGATATATTCTGGTTCCTTAAGCTTAGGCAGGAGCAGTCTAAACCAGTGATGCTGACAACTACGATAATAATAATCATAATAATAGTAATACCAATACTCAGCATTTCAACAAGGGATCTCGAATAACTGTGACTGTGTTCTTTGTAGTGAGTCCAACACTCTGTATCACTGATTTATGTAGGTGTAGGGTAGTATATTTGCCCCCTTGTGTGGGTTGATTACGCAGGAGTTATACATGAGGAGCTGCTTTGACGAAGTTACGAATGAATTTCAGTCTATTAAACACTGCTGATGACCCTTGCAGTTAAGATCATTCATTAAATAACACTTACCCGCGAATTGGAGGTCTAATATTCCCTCCATTCTCTCATCCCCCTATATCCAGAGATCCAATTACCTTTACCAACGGGTCCTTCATTTGTCCAAACGTTATCCACATAACGTGTACGTCACGGAAAAGCGTTGGGTCCCAATATGGGGTGGGACGGATCTGCTACTAATGATGCTTAGCGCCATGCATCACCTGATTGTCGATATGGGTTCTAAGTGGCATTGGGATTTTTTCATCAACCTCAGTGGCACCGACCTGCCTGTCAGGTAAGTAGCCATTTGCCTATATGTCATATCTGTCTTTTACCAACACAGACAGATCCTAACAGCCACTCTCCAGCAAGCTTGTTTGCCCACAGACAATCTCGGTGAAGGACGGTATTGTGTTCTGTATCGATTCGACTCTATTGCTATTCCTTCTCTTCCACAATTTCCTCTCGTTCTTCCACCCTTAGACCACAAAATCAACTGATCGCCTATCTCAGTCAACAACGAGGCAAGATCTTCTTGCATTCCAATCCAAACAGACCTCAGTAAGTGTTTCCGGGAATCCATTAACCGAAGCTCTGTCTGTTCAACTAAATCTTGATCTATATACTTATATTTTGAAGTTTTGGCTCCGAGTTTTGTTTTACAAAGGGAAGTTAACCGTCTTCTCAGAGGTTGAGAAGCACTTCACAGTTGTTTTTTCTGTGGAGTTTGCGCGTCTAATGATCGGCCTGTAATTGTATGCAACATGATATGGCGTTGGTTAGCGCCTGGAGTGAAGACTTTCCAGCGGAATGTATGATCCGACTACCTATATTTCTTTAGTTGTGGATAAATTTTGACATCCAAATTATGTGATGGGTGGGGCGAGATGGCCCAATTGGTGAGAGCGCAAATTCACTGACTGGAAGGCCCGTGGTTCGAACCCGACCTCTGTCTCTTGACTTATCCTGTCCAGGCTTGGGCAACCTGGCAGTTAGGCACTGAAAGGATGCGACAGCTGAATGATTTATGCGATGGGTTTAGTCTCCCTCCCTCTCTCTCTCTAGGTTTACATTAGATGACTTTCAACTTGGATGAAATGGCTGCACAATGCCTCTCGGCCTTCCATCACAAACCAACTATGCCACGAGAAATGGATTCATGGATTAGTCTTAATGTTCTGATCTAACTCAAAACGTTGGAGCTTATCTGGATCAGTTTAGGTTAGAACGGCGTCAGATTCTGTGCCACTGTTAATGATTTCTAGCATAAACTTTGGGACCGTTCGGAAAACTAGATGGGCTAATCCTCCAAAATCCTGCGTCTCGTACATACATACAGCTTCCGTTTCTCTGTCAACAAATGCTCTCTGAGCATTCTCACGTCCCCCCTGTTTGTACTTTTTGCGTATGTTACTTCATCCTTCATATATGTCTCATTCGGTTTCCATTAGGTTCATCGTTTCTCAGGGTTTCGATCGACTGTTCGCCAGTTGCGATCAGTACATGTGGGACCTTGGTCCTCGTCCCCTGCCTACCGGATTCGTTCTTGATGGCGGTTCTGATTGGATGATTTTGCCACGAGCGTTCGTCGAATATGTGGCGTTTACACGAGACGCATTATTCAACGACCTATTGGAGTATTTTCGGTACAGCCTTCTGCCTGTTGAGGTTAGTCTTGCTACTCCGGTAAATTTGATTTTCGGTTGCTCACGTTATCCTGGTAGCATTTTACACTTCTGGAAAGATCACACCTCAGAAGAGATCAGTTCTTGTCGGTCCTTCGAAGTGGTTACTCTAGAGGAAGGAACAACTGTTCCTACTGTTCGCGACTTGTATCTAGGTAGCGCGAATTAATGGAACTGAAGCACGGTCAAGCATTCGCTGATTCCTGATAGGGGACGATATGGCTCAATTGTTAGGGCGCGAATTTACTAACTGAAAGGTTAGTGTTTCGCACCGTACCTCTGCATCTGGACTTCCCTTGTCTAGGCTTGGGCAACCTGGCTGTATCCCTGTCCTCATGCCTCCTTCCTTCCTTCCTTCCTGATAGACGCTGGATTCCATTTGTCGGTTTGCTCAATTGTGTCGTGAATTCACCCTGTTTCTCAACGAATTTCGGACTGATTAGTCATAGTCGCAAGGATAACACCGTTTAGTTGTATCGAGCGTTGGTGCTCGTTTCACTGGCTCCCCGCGTTCTCTGATGAAGGACTTTCTGAACTAGGCTAGCTATTTATCTGCCTCCAGTGCGTAGCTACTCAGCCCTAACTTCCTAGATCATCGGCGAGCTAAACTGTGACATATATAACCACTGTAGAGCACAATGATGATAATGGTGGTAGCTGATTCTGTTCTTCCCACCTTGCTCCAACTTCAGACAGGCTAAATTCATCACAGATTGTCTTTTGAAGTTAAAAAATTCCACTTATTTGTGTGTGTGTGCTACACATCAGTGAGCAACATCCACGTTGCCTGGCATACACTGCCTATTAGTGAACCCGGATTCTGTTTCACGATAGTAAAGTAGCAAGCTGATTTACTTAACGCTTATTGCAATCTTCCCCTAACCCCGTTTTGCGGGTTCAGTATGGGTTTCGCTAGGTTCTTTATGCTCCGTTCTCTTTATGGGATTATACTGCATACGTAATTCGAAACCGGTTATTTGGCCTTCTAAAAGTGTGTATCATCTGTGTTAAGACCAAGCAGCTCAGTATCTGTGGGTTTTTTGTATCCTAACAGTAGGAGTTTGCACAAACTTTGCTTATCCCTTTTGTCACTTTTGTATATCTGTTCCCATCTATTTATAATTGCCGATTCCACCCGCAGATGTTCTTTCACACTCTGGCCCAGAACACCCATTTTTGTGATTCGGTTGTCACGCACGCACTGCGTTTCGCTCACTGGGATCGACCGCGTGGTTGTGAATGCAAATATGGATCAGTCGTCGATTGGTGCGGGTGCTCCCCAGTTGCATTTCGTGGTTTGAGAGGACAACAGCAATTGTGCGCTCGTGTCGGTGGTTGTCTTGGATATCAACCTAGTGATGAACCAGTATTCTTTGCCCGGAAATTCGACCCAACGGTAGATCTGGAAGTGATGGAGTTTGTTGTCAAGACAATGTTGGGTAAAGTACCCTGTGAGTCCTTTTGCATCAGTCGTCTATATCGTAACGGTCTTGGGATGTATTTCGTTCTGCCAAATCCAAAGCCCGAATGTCACATAATGATAATGGACGATACCACCTACTATTTGCATCTAGACAGGACTTATGGAGTGCGTCCCGGATGCCATCCGTTGTTTTGCTTTATTTTACTGAGTGATTGTTGAGATACGGAACAGTGGCTGACAGGTGGATTGACCGCAGTGCATCATTTGATGGGTAGGGAAAGGTTGTGGAT